GCCCGAGGAAAGGAGAAGACACTGTGCCCTCCGATTAGTCGAGTGCAGCCAGGCTGTGTGTTTGTGAGGTGTGAGGGCATGGATAGAGACCCACCAGAGAAAGCACATGGCCCTGGGACCCCAGGTTGTGATTTCCAGTACATGCTTGGATACGGCACGTAGGTGGGTGCCCACCATGCACAGGGACTGGCTACGTGACTGCCAGCTCTGCAGCAGCATCAGGCATCCGGGCCAGCCTCCTTGGTGGACCATGAACTGGTTGGTGGCCCTGGCCTGCGCCCGGTAGTCCTGGGGTGACCCTGGTGTCATGCAGGGGAGCTGGCATGTGTAGTGGAGGCGCTTGTGTGGCCTGCAGTAGGATGCAGCCCTGGCTTGTAGCCTGAGCCCAGTGACCTGCCTGTCCTGTCGTTTCAGGGTTCAGTGGTGGAGAGAGCGTTGGGTGCCCTGCGTCTGTGACGGGCCAGTATTCCACATGGATCTCATCACATGGTCCATGGAAGGCGAGCATCCCTGAGCTGGCACACCCCACCTTCTGCCCACATGGAGGGGTGAGGTTGTGTTTGGACACCTGTCCTCTTCCTGTTCCTCGAGATGGTGACCCCGGATGAGTACTCGTGTTGTGCCCACTGTCCCCAGGCCAGGGTCCATCAGCCAGGTGCCTAGCCCCTGTTGCACTGAAGCTCTGGCCCTTCCTGTCGCCTTGGTCTCTGCATTGAGCTTGGGTGAGCCCATCGGGGTGCCACTGGATGCCTAAGCAGGGAGGGGGTGCCCTGGGTTGGGTCGATGATGAGAACTTTATATTGTTCTGAAGAGAGGTGATGACTTAAAAATCATGCTCAATAGGATTACGCTGAGGCCCAGCCTAGGTGAGAATGTTGGAAGAGGACACTAGAATCCTGAGGTCCCTGGCAGGGTCACTGTATTTTAGGCTAGAGACTTCGAGGCCCTAAAGGGCATCTCATGCAGGAGCCCAGCCCTGTCTGTGCTCCTCCATTAGGCACACCAGGCTTCCTGTGTGGGCTTGGTGTCTGTGCTCAGCTTCCCTGGGGGCGGGACACGTTGATGGCTCCTTCCTGAGCCCCATTATCCTTGGTGTCTTTCAGTGAGCTCTTCCGCCAAGCAGACCCCCTAGGATTGACCAGCATAGGTGAGTGGACATTGCTGGTGTCATGGGCCGTGATCCAAGCGGTGGGCAGTCCCCGAGGGTCAGCCCTCAGGCCACCTGGGTTTCCTCAGGAGTCGACCTGAATCGACTGGGGATGTGTCCTCCAGCAGGGAGGCTTCCTTGGGAATTGGACACAAGGCAGAGGCCTTCTCTGAAGCCCTGCAGGGGTGGCAGTGGTTCAGGCAGGAAAGGGTTTTCTCAGCCCCATGCAGGGTAGTGCCCAGCTCAGACTTGGTGCTTGGGTCAGGCCTCTAAGATGGCCAGGACACATGAGGGGGGCAACAAGGGCTCTGGGGCACCACGGGCATCTCATGGGGACTCTCCAACCCTGGAGAGGGGTGGGCGATTCAGTCCGTGGAGTCAGGCCATGGAGATTCATGGATTGCAGCAAACCCATGACCCTCAATGGGACCGACCCTATAAGCAGTGGGCCCTCCCAGTGGCATGTCTTTGAGCCATGTGAGGGGCGGCGCTGTTTCTCTGAGGTTGGGTCAAGACTAGCTGTGGCCAGTGCCTGATGGTGGTCCAGTCTGTCTCTGGGACTCGTGGGCTTTGGGCCAAGGCTGTAGCCCGTATCCCACTGGGGGTCACCCCTTCCTTGTGGGCGAGTGGCGGTAATGGTGGCCTCCTGAGGTGGGAAGGTCCACAGTGGAAGGACCTTTCCTGGAAATTTGCAGTCCAGGCTGCTTCTCAGCCATCAGGACAACTCCAGAGATCAGGGTCTTAGGCCCAAAGAAAGAAGAAGACACCATATGTCTCCCGGTTGGCTGAGTGTGGCCCCGCTCTGTGTGTGGGAGGTATTGTGTGGGGCGTGGATTGGGACCCACCAGAGAAAGCTTGTGGCCCTGGAGCCCCAGGCTGCGATTTCCAGTGGACCTTGAGGAAAGGAGGGTGGGTGCCCACCATGCACAGGGCAGGCTGTACAACTGCCAGGTAGGCAGCAGCACGTGGTGTCCGGGCCAGCGTCCTTGGTTCGCCGTGAGCTGGTTGGTGTCCATGGCCCCTGCCCAGGGGTCCAGGTGCTACCCGGGGTTGTGCAGGGGAGCTGGCGTGGGCAATGGAGGTGCTCGAGGGGCCTGCAGTAGGGCACAGCCCAGGCGTCTTGCCTGAACCCAGGAACCCACCTGCCCTGTCTTTCCGTGGTTCAGTGGCTGGGAGGGCAAAGGGTCCCCCCCATCCATGACACATCAGTGTTTTCCATGGATCCTATCACATGGGTCCACAGAGAGAGAGCATGTGTGAGCTAGCACCCCCCACCCCCTTCCCTGTGTGGAGGCTGGGAGGGCAAAGGTCCCCCCAATCCGTGACACATCAGTGTTTTCCATGGATCCTATCACATGGGTCCACAGAGAGAGAGCATGTGTGAGCTAGCACCCCCCACCCCCTTCCCCGTGTGGAGGCCCGAACCCCTGGTTGGACACATGTCCTCCTCCTGTCCCCCCAGATGGTGACTGCAAAGGAAGACTTGCTTTGGGACCACTGGCCCCAGGCCAGTGTCCATCAGCCAGGTGTCCAGCCCTTGGTGCACTTAAGCTCAAGCCCTTCCTGGTGCCCTGGTCTCCTGCCCTGAGCTGTGGTGAGCACATCTGGGTCCAGCTGGATGCATGTGCGGGGAGGGGGGTGCCCTGGGTTGGGTCGATGATGAGAACCTTATATTGTCCTGAAGAGAGGTGATGACTTAAAAATCATGCTCAATAGGATTACGCTGAGGCCCGGCCTAGGTGAGAATTTTGGAAGAGGATGCTGAGATGCCAAGGTCCCTGGCAGGGCCACTGTATTTTTGGGCTAGAGACCTGGAGTCCCTGAAGTTCATCTTGGGGTGTCCAACCCTATCTCTGCGCTCCGTGAGGCAGCCCAGGCTCCCTGTGCGGCCTTGGTGTCGGCCCTCTAGTTCCCTGGGGTTGAGGCACACTGGAGGCTCCTCCTTCCTGAGCCCCTGTTCTCCCTTGTGTCTGTGTCTTTCAGTGAGCTCTTCTGCCAAGGGGGACCCCTGGCCTTAAGTGGGATAGGTAAGTGGATCCTGCTGGGGTCATGGACCATGAGCCAGGTCGCTTTGGGTCACTGAGGGTCACCCTTCAGGCCACGAAGGATTCCTCAGGGAGCCCATCTGAAACCCACCGGGGATGGACGGTTTCTCCAGGAGGACAGCTTCCTTAGATATTGGTCCCAAGAAGGATGCCTTCCCTGAAGCCGTGCAGACATGACGGAGGTCCAAACAGGAGAGGGTTCCTTCAACTCAACGCAGTGCGTGTTCTAGCTGAGACTCAGTGCACAAGTCAGGCCTGGAGGGCTTTCCAGGCCACATGAGGGGGTCCACAGGGTCACTGGGGGCAACGGGTGTTATGCGGGAGCTCTCGGTCCCCGAGGCTTGCAAAGGGGCAGGGTGATTGGGCTTATGGAGTCAGTCCGTGAAGATTCAAGGATCGAGCCTAACCCATGGCCCTGATGGGACTGACCTGTGGAGCAATGGGCCATCCCAGTGGTTCCTTCTTAAGCCTGGTGGGGGCGGTGTGGCCCCAGTGGGTTTGGGTCAAGACTGAGCTCTGGCCTTCACCTGGTGGTGCTGCAGGCTGGCCCTGGGAATCGTGGGCTTTGGGCCAAGGGTGCAGCCTGCGTCCAGCTATAGGTCACCCCTCCCCGAAGTGGAGTGGCCAGAAGGATGGCAACCTGTGGTGGAAAGCACACTGTCAAGGGTCCTGTGCCGGCAATTTGCTGCCCAGGCTGCTTCTAAGTCATGGGGTCACCTCCAGGGTGGCGGGGTCTTGAGCCGAAGGAAAGGCAAGGACATCATGTGTCCCTGATTGATTGAGCATGGCCCGGCTCTGCGTTTGGAAGTATGTGGTGCATGAATGGGGACCCATCAGAGAAGGCACGTGGCCCTGGGGCTCCAGGATACGATTTCTGGTGTGAGCTTGTAGAGGGTGTCTGCCGTGGCACGTGGCATTCAGGTCAGCCTACTTGGTTTGCTGTGAGCTGGTTGGTGGTCCCGGCCCTGCCCAGTGGTCCCGTTGTGGCACAGAGTCATGCGGGGGAGCTGGTGTGGGCAGTGGAAGGGCTCCAGGGGCCTGCAATAGGGTGCATCCTGGACATCTTGCTCAAATCCTGTGACCTGCCTGCCCTGTCATTTCAGGTTTCTGTGACAAGGAGGGCCAAGGGTTCCCCGCGTTCTTGACCATCACTGTTTATAGGGATCCCATCTCTTGAGTCCATGGAGGGAGAGCGTGTGTTAGCCAGCACCCCATGCCCACTTTTGTGCATGGAGGCATGAGGCCATGTCTCTACACCTGTCCCCCACCCCTCCAGATGGTGACCCCAGAGGAAGACGTGCATTGGGTCTGCTGGCCCCGGGCCAGTGTCTCTCAACCAGGTGCTCAGCCCCTGGTGAGCTGAAGCTCAGGCCCTTCCTGGTGCCCTGGTCTCCTGCACTGAGCTGTGGTGAGCACATCCGGGTCCCTCTGGATACATGTGCAGGGAGGGGGTTGTACTGGGTTGGGTCAATGATGAGAACCTTATATTGTCCTGAAGAGAGGTGATGACTTAAAAATCATGCTCAATAGGATTACGCTGAGGCCCAGCCTAGGTGAGAATTTTGGAAGAAGATGCTGGGATCCCGAGCTCCCTGGCATGGCCACTATATTTTAGGCAGGAGACCTTGAGGCTCTGAACGGCATCTCTGGGGGGCCCAACCCTGTCTCTGCGCTCCTCCTTGAGGCAGCCCAGGTTCGCTGTGTGGGCTTGGGCTCCGGTTCCCTGAGCCCCCATTCTCCCTTGTGTCTTTCAGTGAGCTCGTCTGGCTAGGTGGGGCCCCCAGGCATTGACTGGCATAGGTGAGTGGTCCTGCTGGGGTCATGGGTCATCAGCAGCGAGGGGTCACCGAGGGTCCGCCTTTGAGACAGGAGGGTTTCCATGGGCAGCCGACCTGCATCCGCACCATGGAGGGGTGGGTTGGTCCTCCAAGACGGCTGCTTTTCTGGGAATCAGACCCAAGGAGGATGCCTTCCCTGCAGCCCTGTGGGGATGACGGTGATCCAGGCAGGAAAGGGTTCCTTCAGTTTCACGTAGGGGAGCTCCCAGCTGAGTCTCAGTGCATTGGTCTGGCCTTGACGACTGACCAGGCCACATGAGGGGGGCCACAGGGGCTTCAGGATGCCATGGGGTCACACAGGATCTCTCCATCCCTGGAGAAAGGTGGGCATAGGGCCCATGGATTCAAGCTGCAGAGATTCAAGAATTGCACACAAATTATTGCCCTGAATGGGACCAACCCTGTTGTGCAATGTGTCATCCCAGGGCGCCTCTTTGAGCCTGAAGGGGGGGTACTGTTTCCCTAGGTTTGGGTCAAGGCTGAGCTCTGGCCGGTGCCTGGTGGTGCTATTGTCCAGTCATAGACTTGTTAGTTTTAGGCCAAGGGGTCAGCTCTGTGTCTAAAGGATCCCCTGTGCTGGGGATCTCCCCTTTCCTGTGGCTGGAAGTCACCACTTCCCCATTGGCAAGAGTCAGGAAGGGTGGCCTCCTGAGGTGGAAGGCCTGCTGTCAAGGGTCTTGTCCCTAGAATATGCTGCCCATGCTGCTTCTGAGCAATGGGGTCACCTCCAGGGTAGCAGGTCTTGGGCTCAAGGAAAGGAGAAGTCACCATGTGTCCCTGATTAGCTGAGTGTGGCCCTGCTCTGTGTTTAGGAGGTATGTGGGGCATGGATGGGGACCCACCAGAGAAAGCATGTGGCCCTGGGACCCCAGGTTGCGATTTCCAGTTCATGCTGGGATAGGGCACCTGGGTGGGTGCCCACAGTGCACAGGGATAGGCTATGTGACTTGCAGGTCTGCAGCAGCATCTGGCACCTGGGCCAGCCTCCTTGGTTGGCTGTGAGCTGAATGGTAGCCCTGGCCTGTGCCCAGTACATCTGGCATGACCCTTGGGTCCTGTAGGGGAGCCAGCATGGGCAGTGGAGGTGCTCATGGGACCTGCAGCAGGACACAGCCGGGGCTTCTTGTCCGAGCCCAGTGACCCGCCTATCCTGTCTTTCCAGGGTTCGGTGGCTGACAGAGCATTGGGTGCCCTGAGTCCATGATGGGCCAGTGTTCCACGTGCATCCCATCACATGGGTCCATGGAGGGTGAGCATCCCCTCAGCTGACACACCCCACCTTCTGCCCCCATGGAGGGGTGAGGTTGTGTTTGCACACCTGTCCTACTGTTTCCCCAGATGTTGAGCCCAGAGGAAGACTTTGCACTGGACCCAATGGCCCCAGGTCAGCGTCCGTCAGCCAGGTGCCCAGCCTCTGGTGCACTGAAGATCAGGCCCTTCCTGGCGCCTTGGTCTCCTGCATTGAGCTGTGGTGAGCATATCTGGATCCTGCTGGATGCACGTGCAGGGAGGGGGTTGCCCTGGGTTGGGTCGATGATGAGAACCTTATATTGTCTGAAGAGAGGTGATGACTTAAAAATCATGCTCAATAGGATTACGCTGAGGCCCAGTCTAGGTGAGGGTTTTGGAAGAGGATGCTGGGATCCGGAGGTCCCCAGGAGAGCCCCTATATTTTTGGCTGGAGACCTGGAGGATGTGAAGGGCATCTTGGGGGTGCCCGACCCTGTCTCTGCGCTCCTCCATGAGGCAGCCTGGGCTCCCTGTGCGGGCTTGGTGTCGGCCCTCCAGTTCCCCAGGTTGAGGCACAGTGGAAGCTCCTTTCTGAGCCCCGTTTTCCCCTTGTGTCTTTCAGTGAGCTCTTCCACATGGGAGGGCCCCCTGGCATTCACTGGCATAGGTGAGTGGCTGGTATCATGGGCCTTGAGCCAGGCTGCGTGGGGTCGCCAAGGGTCAGCCTTTGGGAAAGAAGGGTTTCCTCAGGGAGCCAACCTGAATCCCCACTGGGAAGAGTTGAGTTCTCCAGGAGAGTGGCTTCCTGGGAAACAGGAACCAAGGAGGATGCCTTCCCTGAAGCCCTGCAGGGGTGACGGTGGTCCAGGCAGGAAAGGGTTCCTTCAGTTCCACCCAGGGCAGCTCCCAGCTGAGTCTCGGGGCTCGCGTCTGGACTCGAGGACTGTCCTGGCCGTATGAGGGGGACCACAGGAGCTCTGGGGTGCCATAGGGATCCCACAGGCACTCTCTGTCCTTGGAGAAAGGTGGGTGATCGGACCCATGGAGTTGAGCTGTTGAGATTCAAGGATTGCGCCTGACACATGGCCCTGAATGGGACCCCCCAGTTGAGCAATGGGCCATCCCATCGGCCTCTTCAAGCCTGAAGGGGAGTGGTGCTGTTTCACTGGATTTACGTCAAGGCTGAGCTCTGGCTGGCGCCTGGTGGTGCTGCAGTCCAGCCCTTGGACTCATGGGTTTTGGGCCAAGGGTGCAGCCAGCATCCCGCTGGAAGTCACCCCTTCCCTGTGGCTGGAAGTTATCCCTTCCCAGTGGGCTAGTATCGGGAAGGGTGGCCTCCTGAAGTGGGAAGGCCCGCTATTGAGGGTCTGGTCCTGGAAATTTGCTGCCCATGCTGCTTCTGAGCCATGGAGTCACCAGTGTGGTGGGGTCTTGGGCCCAAGGAAAGGAGAAGACACTGTTCTCCCTGATGAGTCCAGTGCGGCCAGGCTGTGTGTTTGTGAGGTGTGAGGGCATGGATAGAGACCCACCAGAGAAAGCATGTGGCCCTGGGACCCCAGGTTGTGATTTCCAATACATGCTTGGATACGGCACGTAGGTGGGTGCCCACCATGCACAGGGACTGGCTACGTGACTGCCAGCTCTGCAGCAGCATCAGGCATCCGGGCCAGCCTCCTTGGTGGACCATGAACTGGTTGGTGGCCCTGGCCTGCGCCCGGTAGTCCTGGGGTGACCCTGGTGTCATGCAGGGGAGCTGGCATGTGTAGTGGAGGCGCTTGTGTGGCCTGCAGTAGGATGCAGCCCTGGCTTGTAGCCTGAGCCCAGTGACCTGCCTGTCCTGTCGTTTCAGGGTTCAGTGGCAGAGAGAGCATCGGGTGCCCTGCGTCTGTGACGGGCCAGTATTCCACATGGATCTCATCACATGGTCCATGGAAGGCGAGCATCCCTGAGCTGGCACACCCCACCTTCTGCCCACATGGAGGGGTGAGGTTGTGTTTGGACACCTGTCCTCTTACTGTTCCTCGAGATGGAGACCCTGGATGAGTACTCGTGTTGGGCCCACTGTCCCCGGGCCAGTGTCCATCAGCCAGGTGCCTAGCCCCTGTTGCACTGAAGCTCTGGCCCTTCCTGTCGCCTTGGTCTCTGCATTGAGCTTGGGTGAGCCCATCAGGGTGCCATTGGATGCCTAAGCAGGGAGGGGGTGCCCTGGGTTGGGTCGATGATGAGAACCTTATATTGTTCTGAAGAGAGGTGATGGCTTAAAAATCATGCTCAATAGGATTACGCTGAGGCCCAGCCTAGATGAGAATTTTGGAAGAGGATGCTGGGATCCCTAGGTCCCCAACAGGGCCACTGTAGTTTGGGCTGGAGACCTGGAGTCCTTGAAGGGCACCTGGAGGGGGCCCAAACCTGTCTCTGCATTCCTCCGTGAAGCAGTCCAGGCTCTCTGTGCAAGCTTCGTGTCAGTACTCCGATTCCCCTGGGCGGTGCATGTGAGGGGCTCATCCCTGAGCCCCTTTTCTCCCCTTGTGTCTTTCAGTGAACTCCTTCACCCAGGAGGACCCCTGGCCTCGAGCGGCATGGGTGAGTGGATCCTGCTAGGCTCATGGGCCATGGACCAGGCCACGTGGGGTCCCTGAGGGTCAGCCTTCAGGACAGGAGGGATCTGACCCAAGGAAGACACCTTCCCTGAAGCGCTGCAGGAGTGACATTGGTCCCACGCAGGGCAGCTCCTAGCTGAGACTGGGCGCTAGGGTCTGGCCTTGAGGACTGCCCAGGCCACATGAGGGTGGCCCCAGGCTGTGATTTTTGTGCGTGCTTGGAAAGGGAGTCTGTGCACCCTCCCCGTGCAGGGGCAGCTGTGTGTCTGCCAGGTCTACAGTGGCACCTAGCTTCAGAGCAAGCCTCCTTGGTTTGCCTGAGCTGGTTGGTGATCCTGGCTCTTACCCAGGGGTCACAATGCAGCCCAGGAAGTACAGGGAAGCTGGCTTGGACAGTGGAGGTGCTCCAGGGGCCTGCGGTAGGGCATAGCCTGGGCATCTTGCTTGAGCCTAGTTACTCGGCTGTCCTGTCCTTCCAGCGTTCAGTGGTGGGTGCAAGGGTTCCCTGGGTCCATAACTGTCCCTATTTCACATGGATCCCATCACATGAGTCCATGGAGGTAGAGCATGTGTAGCCAGCAGCCCCTCCCTGCTTTCCTGCATGGAATCTTAAGACCCAGTTTGGACACCTTTCCCCTGTCCCTCCAGATGGTGAGCACAGAGGAAGAATTGCGTTAAGCCCTTTGGCCCCGGACCAGTGTCTGTCAACCATGTGCTCAGCCTCCCGTGTGCTAAAGCTTAGGTCCTTCCTGTCATCCTGGTCTCCTGCACTGAGGTATGGTGAGCCCATCCGGGTCCCTCTGGATGTGTGAGTGGGGATGGGGATGTTCTGGGTTGGGTCGATGATGAGAACCTTATATTGTCCTGAAGAGAGGTGATGACTTAAAAATCATGCTCAATAGGATTACACTGAGGCCCAACTTAGGTGAGAATTTTGATAGAGGACGCTGGGAATCATAAGGTCCCCGGCAGGACCACTGTATTTTAGGCTGGAGACCTCAAGACCCTGAAGGGCATCTCATGGAGGGGTACCCAGCCCTGTCTGTGCTCCTTCATTAGGCACACCAGGCTTCCTGTGTGGGCTTGGTGTCCGCACTCAGCTTCTCCGGGGGTGGGACACATTGGCGGCTCCTTCCTGAGTCAGATTCTCCTCAGTGTCTTTCAGTGAGCTCTTCCCACCAGCAGACCCGCTGGGATTGACTGGCATAGGTGAGTGGATACTGCTGGTGTCATGGGCCATGAGCCAAGCAGCATGGGGTCCCTGAGGGTCAGCCCTTGGGCCACCTGGGTTTCCTCAGGAGCCAATCTGAATCCCGACTGGGGATGTGTTCTCCAGGAGGGAGGCTTCCTTGGGAAGTGGACACAAGGCAGAGGCCTTCTCTGAAGCTCTGCAGGGGTGGCAGTGGTCCAGGCAGGAAAGGGTATCCTCAGCCCCACACAGGGCAGTGAAGCTGGGCAGTGCCCAGCTCAGCCTTGGTGCTCGGGTCAGGCCTCTAGGATGGCCAGGCCACATGACAGGGCCACAAGGGCTCTGGGGCACCACGGGCATCTCACGGGGGCTCTCCAACCCCAGAGAAGGGTGGGCAATTTGGCCCGTTGGGTCGGGCCGTGGAGATTTGAGGATTGCACCAAACCCATGACCCTCAATGGGACCGACCCTGTTAAGCAATGGGCCCTCCCAGTAACACCTCTTTGAGCCATGTGGGGGTGGCGCTGTTTCTCTGAGGTAGGGTCAAGACTAGCTCTGGCCAGTCGCTGATGGTGGTGAAATCCAGCCATGAGACTCGTGGGCTTTGGGCCAAGGGTGCAGCCCATGTCCCGCTGGAGGGTCACCCTTTCCTTATGGGCGTGTGGCGAGAAGGGTATCCTCCTGAGGTGGGAAAGCCTGCTGTGGAAGGAACTTTCCTGGAAATTTGCACTCCAGGCTGCTTCTGAGCCATGAGGTCATCTCCAGGGTGGCGGTGTCTTGGGCCCAAGGAAAGGAGAAGACACCATATGTCTCCCGGTTGACTGAGTGTGGCCCTGCTCTGTGTGTGGGAGGTGTTGTGTGGGGCATGGATTGGGACCCACCAGAGAAAGCTCGTGGCCCTGAAACCCCAGGCTGCGATTTCCAGTGCACCTTGAGGAGAGGCCTGGGTGCTTGCCCTCCATGCACAGGGCAGGCTGTGCAACTTCCGGGTTGGCAGTGGCGCATGGCATCCGGGCCAGCGTCCTGGGTTCGCTGTGAGCTGGTTAGTGTCCCTGGCCCCTGCCCGGGGGTCCCGGTGCCGCCCGGGGTCATGAGGGAAGCCAGCATGGGCGAGGGAGGTGCTTGAGAGGCCTGCAGTAGGGCACAGCCCGGGTGTCTTGCCGAAGCCCAGGAACCTGTCGGCCCTGTCCTTCCATGGTTCAGTGGCTGGGGGGCAAAGGGTCCCCCACGTCTGAGACACATCAGTGTTTCACATGGATCTCATCACATGGGTCCACAGAGAGAGAGCAAGTGTGAGCTGGCATCCTCCACCCCCTTCCCTGTCTGGAGGCCTGAGCCCCTGGTTGGACACATGTCCTCCTCCCATCCCCCCAGGTGGTGACCCCAGAGGAAGACTTGCCTTTGGGTCGCTGGCCCCAGGCCGGTGGTCATCATCCAGGTGCCCAACTTTGGTGCGCTGAAGCTCAGGCCCTTCCTGGCACCCTGGTCTCCTGCACTGAGCTATGGTGAGCGCATCTGGGTCCCATTGGATGCGTGTGTGGGGAGGGGGGTGCCCTGGGTTGGGTCGATGATGAGAACCTTATATTGTCCTGAAGAGAGGTGATGACTTAAAAATCATGCTCAATAGGATTACGCTGAGGCCCAGCCTAGGGGAGAATTTTGGAAGAGGACGCTGGGATCCCATGGTCCCAGCAGGGCCACGGTATTTTGGACTGGAGACCTGGAGGCCCTGAAGGGCATCTCAGGAATGCCCAACCCTGTCTCTGCACTCGTCCTTGAGGCAGCCCCGGCTCCCTGTGTGGGCTTGGTGTCGGCCCATCAGTTCCCCACGGGCGGCGCATATTGGAGGCTCCTTCCTGAGCGCCGGTTCTCCCGTGTGTCTTTCAGTGAACTCTTCTGTCCACAGGAGCCCCTGGCCTTGCGTGGGATAGGTAAGTGGATCCTGCTGGGGCCGTGGGCCATGAGCCAGGCAGCTTTGGGTCACTGAGGGTCACCCTTCAGGCCAAGAGGGATTCCTCAGGGACCCGACCTGAAACCACCAGGGATGGATGGTTTCTCCAGGAGGGCAGCTTCCTTGAAAATCTGTCCCTAGAAGGACGCATTCCTTGGAGCTATGCAGAAATGATGGCGGTCCAGGCAGGAAAGAGTTCCTTCAACCCAACACAGTGCATGTCCTAGCTGAGACTCATTGCACGAGTCAGGCCTGAAGGACTTCCCAGGCCACATGAGGGGGTCTGCAGTATCTCCGGGGGCCACAGGTGTTATGCGGGAGCTCTTGGTGCCCGAGGCTTGTGGAGGGGTAGGGTGAGGGTGATCAGGCTTATGGAGTTGGGCTGTGAAGATTCAAGGATTGGTCCCAACCCATGGCCCAGAATGGACCGACCCTGTTGAGCAATTGGCCATCCCAGCAGTGCCTCCTTGAGCCTGGTTGGGGCGGTGTGGCCTCAGTGGGGTTGGGTCAAGGCTGACCTCTCACCTTCACCTGGTGGTGCTGCAGACTGGCCCTGGGAATCGTAGGCTTTGGGCCAAGGGTGCAGCCCGCAGCCCGCTAAGGTCACCCCTCGTTGAAGTGGAGTGGCCAGAAGAGTGGGATCGTATTGGGGAAGTCCCACTGTAAAGGGTCCTGTCCTGGCAATTTGCTGCCCAGGATGCTTCTGAGACATGGGGTCACCGGCAGGGTGGCATATTTTGAGCCGAAAGAAAGGAGAGGACATCATGTATTCCCTGATTGGCCGAGTGTGGCCTGGCTCTGTGTTTGGGAGGTGTGTGGTACATGAATGGGGACCCACCAGAGAAGGCACATGGCCCTAGGGACCCAGGATGTGATTTCCTGTGTGAGCTTGTAGAGGTCTCCTGGACGGGTGCATTCCATGCCCAGGGGCAGGCTGTGTGAGTCCCACGTCTGCAGTAGCACATGGCATCCAGGCCAGCCTCCTTGGTTTGCCATGAGCTGGTTGGCCCTGACCCAGGCCCAGTGGTCCTGGTGCAGCCCTAGGGTCATGTGGGGGAACCGATGTCGTCAGGGGAAGTGCTCTCTGGGCATGCCGTAGGGTGTGGCCCATGGTAGGATGCGGCCCGGGGGTTCTGGTCTGAGCACAGTGACCCACCTGCCCTGTCCTTCCAGGTTCGGCAATAGGGAGGGTCAAGGGTCCCCTGCGTTCATGATGAGTCCGTGTTCCCCACGGATCTCATCACATGGGTCCATGGAGGGCAAGGATGGGTGAGCTGGCACCCCCTGCACAGTTCCCTGTGTGGAGTGGTGAGGCCATTTGGACCCATGTCTTCCACTGTCCCCTCAGATGGTGAGCCCCGAGGAAGAATCTCTTTGGGCCTTCTTGCCCCAGGCCAGTGTCCATCAGCCAGGTGCCCAGCCCCCGGTGCGCTGTAGCTCAGACCCTGCTGGTGTCCAACTCTCCTGCACTGAGCTGTGGTGAGCCCATCTGGGTTCCTGTGATGACTGTGCAGGGAGGGGGTTGCCCTGGGTTGGGTCGATGATGAGAACCTTAAATTGTCTGAAGAGAGGTGATGACTTAAAAATCATGCTCAATAGGATTACGCTGAGGCCCAGCCTAGGGGAGAATTTTGGAAGAGGACGCTGGGA